TCTCTCTCTCTCTCTCTAAATATTGTCATAAATTATCTCAATTTAATGTATTTCTGATGTTTTCAGTCATTCACAGACTTATGAAGAGATTGCACAGCAATTGCTGTCAACCATAGCATTGAAATGCAATTACGAAAACTGTGGCAAAAGTTTCTGCACTCAAAGTCGATTGGATTCACATATCAGGCGAAGACATGCCGTCGAAGACAACACACAGTCCGGGGAACCGATCGGCAGATCATCTCATGTCAGACACCAGTCATTGAGTGCAGCACTCGATGACAGACAACAGATACCAACGATTACTACTACTACTACTAGTCCTACAGTCCCGACAATAACCACAACCACTGCTACTTCCAGTGCCGACAGTCAATGGCTGGACATTAAGTACAATAAGTATGTGTTTTATCTGCGTTTTAAGACATTCATTAATTATTACCGCATTTATTAAGTCTCATCACATCATCCGATGCCAGAGACCAGTCTAGGAGTGGAGCACCCGATGGCAGTCAACAGATGCAAGCGATCACTACAACTGAGCCATCACTGCCCACAATCAGCACCACTTCCAGTCCCGACAGCCAATCGATTGACAATAAACGCCATAAGTATGTAATAAATGTCTATATTTTATGAATTAATTGATATGTTTTTCAACACTCAAGTGATTTGGACTCTGATATCGGACTCATTGGTAGAGTTCCGGCGCCCAAACGGCCCGCACGTAACCGATCGCCCGTTGATATCAAGCCATCGCTCATAGACTCCATACCTCTGGTGCCAGAAATAGTCAACCTCTCGCCGATTGACATAAAGCCAGTGATAAACACCAGCCCTCAGGAGTCGTCAACTGTCCATAAGTAGTGTTATAACAGTTATAATAATTATTGTTTTAATAATTAAATTATTTATATTTTAAGCTCACCTCTCATTACAAGCACTACCGGTGCCGACAATGAGCGCTCACGTGAGTTAGAGCCGTGTATTAGACAAACACCCGATGCCTTACCACTCGTGCCTGCAATCGCCACCACTTCCAGTGCCACTGACAGCCAATCAATGAATATTACTCCCAATAAGTATGAGTTTGTATTTGTATTTTAAGACATTCTGTAATATTTAGCCACATTTTCCTTCAACTCAAGTGATTCGGACTCCGATGTCGTACTCATTGGTAGAGTTCCGGCGCCCAAACGGCCCGCACGTAACCGATCGCCCGTTGATATCAAGCCATCGCTCATAGACTCCATACCTCTGGTGCCGGAAATAGTCAACAAGTATTGTCACAACTCT